CCGAGGGGGAGGAAATCTTCTTCTCAGTTCAGTAGACCCATGGCTCAAAAAAGACATAACTAAACCCAATCGCTTTTTACCATTTTGTCTTCCTGCCACTTGCGTGTGGCACAATCATGAAAGCGGGCAATTTCTGGCTGGAGGACTAAAAGGGAAATCCTGGGGAATCAGAATGTTAGGGAGAAAACAGCAGAGTGGAACAGGAAAGTAATATCATAAAGTTGTTTATGAACTCATGTGTTTAACCCATTATTTGCACACGTGGATCTAATCCTAATTAGTATAGCAACTTTAAAAATTACACTAATGAATAAACTCCTATACAGGTATGAGCTGACCGTGGGAGAGACTGGGACTAACACCCCAAAGTCTTTGAAACTGACACTGGAACCACAGCCCAAAGATAAGATATAAATAACATGTAAAGTCTCATGAGGTATTGTTGAAAATATCCAGGATAAAAAGAAAAATTACTTGGCACACAAAGAATCATAACATTATCAGCTCACACCAGAAAAGATAATCAACAGATATTAATGATTGGATGGCATGGATGTTGGAATTAACATAGCAAGTATCATCCAACTATAGATGATGTGCTCAATAACAGAACAGATGTGACAGAGGAAAGAGTCAATGAACTTGAAGACAGATCAATGGAAATTATCCAATCTGAAGAGAAAAAAAGATTGAAGAAAATGAAACAAAGCCTAAGGGACTTTTGAGACAACAACAAAATGTCCAATATTCATATCATTGAAGTTCTAGAAGAAGAGAAAAAAGAATACGTGGGTAAAATAATATTTGAAGACATAGTGACTGAAAAGTTCCCATGTTTGGCAAAAGACACAAACCTACAGAATGAAGAAACTTATTGAACCAGATCAAGAAAGATTCAAAGAAATCAAAACCAGACAAATCACAACCAAATTCCTGAAATGTAAAAATAAAGAAAAATATTGAGATCACCCAGAAAAAATGACAAATTATCTATAAGAAAACAATTCAGATGGTTATGGATTTTTCATCAGAAACCGTGCTGTCCATTATTTGGAACCACATTTTTTAAGTGCTGAAAGAAAAGAACTGTCAACTTAGATTTCTGTATCAAGCAAAAATATTCCTGTGGAATGACAGTGAATTAAAGATACTCTCAGGCGAAGGAAAAACTAAGTGAATTAATAGCTAATGGTATCGATATAAAACATCTAATAAAGAATGTTTTCCAAACAAAAGAAATTAAACAGAAAACTTGGAACTTCACAAATGATAAAAGTACAACAGGAATGGTAAATACAAAAACTATTATTCTCTTATGGTTCTTTCAACATGCTAGATGATTTTAAGCAAAAAATATAACATTTTCTGATAATGTTTTCAATATATGTAGGTGTAATGTATAACACCTATAGCATAAAGGAAGGTGGATAAAACACCTGCAATGTGGTAAGGTTTCTACATTCCATATAAAGTTGGAAAACGCTGATTCTAAATAACTGTGAAAAGCCTAGTCTATATTTTGTAATCCTTAGAGCAACCACTAAGAATGTGGATGAGAGATATAGTAAAAATCACAATTGACAAATTAAAATAGAATACTAAAAAATGTTTAAATAACCAAAGAGAAGACTGGAAAGTAGAAACAGAGGGAAAGTGCAGTGAGAAGAAACAGAAAACAAATAATAAAATGGTAGATTTAAATCCAAACATATCAATACTTAGATCAAAAATAAATGGTCTAAACACATCAATTAAAAGATACATCATCAGATTGTATTAAAAAATATGAGTTGGCTACACAATGTCTACAAGAAACTCATTTAAATTTTAATTATATAGGTAGGTTTAAAGTGAAGTATTTGAAGAAGATATACTGTGCAAACACAAATCAAAAGAAAGCTGGAATGGTTATATTAGTATCAGATAAAGTTGACTTCAGAGCAAAGAAAAGCACCAGAGATAAAAGAGGGACATTACATTTTGATATTGTGACAGGGTCCTAAATAATCTTACATATGCATAACCTAACAATAGAACTTAAAACAGAGAAAACAAAAAGGAATAACTGAAATAATGAATAGAAAAATACATGACTATAATAGGAAATTTCAGTACTCCTTACTCAAATACTGAACCACTAGGCAGAAATCAGCAAACATAACAGAAGAACTAAACAACAACCTTAAGTTACTGAATCAACTGATGTTTATAGAAAATTCCAACCTAACAGCAGAAACATTCTTCTCAGGAGCATATAACAGTCACCAAGACACCATATTTGGGTCATAAAACTGTAGCAATTTTAAAACATTTGAAATAACAACAAAGTATGATCTCTGACCAAAGCAGAATTAAACTAAAATAACAGAAAGAAAACAGGACAACTTTTCATCACTTGACATTAAAGAAAATATTTGTAAATGATATTGTCACAGAAGTCTCAAGAAGCACAGAAAATATTTTGAACTGAATAAAAATGAAAATATAGCAAGTGAGATAAAAATTTGTGGGATGTAGCTAAAGGAGTACTTAAAGAAAAACCATAGCCATAAATGCTTACATTAGAAAGAAAAAACACCTCAAATCAATTGCCTAAACTTTGACCTTAGAAACAAGAAAAAGGAGAGCAAAAACCCCAAATGCAGTCAAAGGAAGAATATAATAAATACATAGGCTTAATGCATGAAATAAAAAAGCAAAATGTAATAGAGAAAAATCAATGAACTTAAAGCTGATTCTTTGAAAAGATAATGAAACTGGATAAACTTTTAGTATGAATGACAGAGGAAAAAAAGAGAATTAAAACTTACCAATATCAAAAAGAAGAGATGATATTACTACAGACCCACAGACATTAAAAGGATAATGAGCAAATACTATAAATAGCTCTATTCATAAGCTGTCAACTTAGATGAAATACAGCAATTCCTCAAAAATCACAAAGTACCATAACTCATCCAATATGAAACAAATAACATCTGAATATTCCTATAATAGTCCTTAAACAAATTGCATTTGTTTTTTTCCCAGCTTTATTGAGATGCAATTGATATTTAAAAACTATAAGCATTTAAGTGGACAACTTTACACATATACTATACGGAAATTATCACCACAGTCAAGCTAATAGTGAACACATTCATCACCTCACATAATTTCTGTTTTCTTCCTTTTTTCTCCCTGTGGTAAGAAACATTTAAAACCAATCATGTCAGCAAATTTCAGTATGAAATACAGTATTGTTAACTCATTGTTGTACATTAGTTCTCCAGAAATTGTTCTTCCTGAACAACTGATACCTTGTTGTCAGTTGACCAAAATCTCCCTATCTCCCTATCCACTCCCAGTCCCTCGTAACTACCATTCTGTTCTCTGCTCCTATGAGTTTCACCGTTTTAGATTCTACATACAAGTGAGATCAGGCAGTATTTGTCATTCTGTGTCTAGTTTACTTCACTTAGCATGATGTCCTCCAGGCTAATCCATGTTGTCACAAATGTCAGGATTTTCTTATTTTTTTAAGGCTGAATAATTTCCATTACATACAGGTATACCACATTTTTTTTATCCTTTCATCGGTTGATGGACATTTAGGTTGTTTCTATATCTTGGTTATTGTGAATAAGAGTGCAGATATCTCTTCAAGATCCTGATTTTGTGTCCTTTGGATATACATCTAAAGTGGGACTGCTGGATGGCTCTTAAATAAATTGAATCTATGGTTTAGAACATCAAAAAATAAATCTCCAGATTCAGGTGGTTTTACTAGTAAACTTTACCTAACATTTAAGAAGAAATAAATTAAAATCAATTAATCAATCAATTAAATAAAAATAAAATAAATAAAACAATTTATAATTTTTTCCAGAAAATAGAAAAGGAAGGAACACTTCCCAACTCATTTTATGAAGCCAGTACTACCCTGATACTAACACCAGACAAAGGCAAAACAAAAAGGGGGTACAGGCTAATACACCTCACAAACTTAGTTCTGAACAAAACATTACCAAACCAAATTGGGACATGAATTAAAGAAATCCATGACCAAGTGAGGATTATCCTCTGAATGTAAGGCTGTTTAAATATTTGAAAATCAATCAGTGTAATCCACCACATTAACAGTCTAAAGAAGAAGAAAAACCACACAGTCATTAATAGATACAGGAAAAGCCTTTAGTCAAATGCAATATTCACTCATAATAAAAACTCTCAGCAAACTGAGAACAGAAACAACGTTCTCAAATGTGCTAAAGGGTATACACAAAAACCCTCTTGGTGATGAAAGACTGAATACTTTCCCCCTGAGATCAAGAAAAAGTCAAGAATGCCCATTTCAATAATCATATTCAACAACATACTGTTCCTAGCCAGTGAAACAGGAAAGAAAAAGAAATAAAAGGAATACAGACTGGCACACAAAAAAGAAACTCTCCCTCTTCTTTGATGACACGATTGTGTACAAAACCACAGACACTACCAAAAAAAAATCCTAAACCTAGTAAGTGAGCTTATTAACAAGGTCAGAAGATAATAGGTCAACACGTAAATATCAGTCATTTTTCTGTGTACAATAAATGAATTAGAAATTAAAAAATTAAAAGCTCCAAATAATGAAATGGAACACACACGTACACACACCCCTAGTAAAGTATTGAATCTGTACACTGATAACTAAAAATGGTGATAAAAGAAATCAAAGACCTAATTTAATGCAGAGAGATACTTGAAATCTCAACATAGTAACAATGTTAATTTTCTCCAAAGTGATTAGTAGATTTAATGCAGTACTGATCAAAACCACAGCAGAACTTTTGTAAACATACAAAAGATAATGCAAAAAAATGTTATTAAGGGCCAAGCAGCTGTAATAGCTAAAATCTTTTTGGAAAAGAATATAGTTGGATAAATAGCACTATTTATATTGAGACCAAATGCAAAGCTACACTACTGAGGACAGTGTGGTATTTGCAAAGGATATACACATAGATCAGTGGAACAGAAAAGAGAGCTCAGAAATAAGCCCATATAAATACAACCATTTGATCTTTCACAAATGTGCAAAAACAACTCACAGATAAACAAACAGCATTTTCAAAAATTGGTGTTAGAACAATTAATCTATATACAAAAAATGAACGAGACCTAAACTTTTCATCTTTATACAAAGACTAACTCAAAATGGATCATAGATCATAGTTTAACATGTAAAACTACAAAAATTTGGAAGAAAATACAGAATAAAATTTTCATTTCCTAGGGTTAGGCACAGAGTTCTAGAAAAGATAGCAAGAACCAGAACATTAAGAAAAACGTGATAGAAACTGAATTTTGATACTTAAAAACTTTTGCCCTGCAAAACACCTTGTCAAGAAAATGAAAAAATAAGCTACAGTTGGGGGAAAATACTTGCAAAGCACATATGCAACAAAGGACATATCTAGAATATATATAAGAATTCTCAAAAATTCAATAATAAGGAAACAAACAACCTGTATTTTAAAAAAGGACAAAGGGTCTGAACAAATATGTCACCAAAAAGGCTATGAAAATGGCAAATAAGCACATAAAAGATGGTCAACATCATTAACTATCCACAAAATGCAAATTAAAACCATGATTACCTAGAACTACACATCTATTAGAGTGGTGAATTTAAAAAAGTAGTAATATCAAGTTTTGGCAAGTATGTGGAGCACTCAGAACTCTCATACATTGTTGGTGGGGGTGCCACTCTGGAAAACAGTTTGGCAATCCCTTATAAACACTTCTACTATGATCCAGTTATCCTACTCTGAGAGAAGTAAAAACTTATGTTTGTTTATGAAACTCAAAACAGATTTATTTATACTCACCAAGCTTGGAAATAACCCAGGTGTCCTTCAGTTGGTACACTGTGTTACATCCAAACATGAAATACTACTTAGCAATTAAAAGAAACACACTGGTGATTTCAAAATTGTAGAATAGATAAACAAGATTATACTGTATAGCACAGGGAAATATACACAAAATGTTATGGTAGCTCACAGAGAAAAAAATGTGACAATGAGTGTGTATATGTCCATGTATGACTGAAAAATTGTGCTGAACACTGGAATTTGACACAACATTGTAAAATGATTATAAATCAATAAAAAAAAGAAAAGAAACACACTGGTGATCATGCAACAGCACAGATGGATCTCAAAGGCACTATGCTCTGTGTAAGTAGATAATCTCTGAAGATTACATACTATATGATTCCATTTATGTGATATTCTCAACAAGACAAAACAGCTGTGATAAAGGACAGACCAGTGGTTACCTGGGGAGAGGGATGAATACAAAGGAATTGCATGAGGGAGTGTTTTGGGGTTATGAAACTGTTCTGTATCCTGATTGTGCTGTTGATTAAGTGAGTTAAATTTCATAGATCTGTATAAAAAGGGAAAGAAGTTAAATTTCCTGTACAATTAAAAAAATCTGACTCACCACAGAGTAGAAAAAAAGGTGTTCTGACAGGGTCAGGTCATTAAACAACAAGTCATGCTGAGGGCAGAAGCCCAAGCTTTCTCGAATCTTAGTTATGTTCTTTGTGATGTCATATCCATCAACATAGACTTCTCCTCTTGTGGGAGGGTAACGACCTACAAATAAGCCAGAGATACGACAAAAGCTGAATTTTGGTGAGAGAACATAAGATGTTGAAAGTTAGCACCTCAAATTCAGTCTATTTGTGAATTACTCCAAAGAATTAGCACTGATTCCCACAGAAGAATACTTACAGGAAAATATCAAGAGTTATACCTGGAAGGTGGGATTAGCTGTCTTAATTTTCTCTTTCCTTTCTTTTTTGTTTATATATATTTATTTTCTACAATGGGTATGGATTATATTGGTAATAAAAACATTTACATAATTTGCTGTATTTCAATGTATTTACCAGTTACTGTATTTGTGAACTGTATAGGTACTGTACAGATGCTGTGAAAAACAGAGAAGTCTGGAATATTTAACTTTTCCCCTCAAGAAATTTAAATATTAATAACAGTAAGTCCAGGGTTTGTGGTGAATTATTTGGCAATATGTAAAAAAGAAACTATAAGACCATTCAAACCATATGAATCATTTATCCTATTTATAAATATATTTTTATTGAATATCATTGCCATATAATAATATATTAGTTCTAAGCATATAACATAATGGTTTGATATTTGTATATATTGTGAAATGATCAAGATAATAAGTCTAGTTAACATCCTGCACCGTATGTAGTTACATTTTTTTCTTATGAGAACTTTTAAGATTTATTCTATTAGCAACTTTCAAATTTACAGTATAGTATTATTAACTGTAGTCACCATGCTGTAATTACAATCCCATGATTTGTTTATTTTATAATTGGAAGCTTGTAATTTTCGACCTTCTTCATCCATTTAGCCCAGTCCCCATGCCAGGCCTCTTACAACCAGATTTTCCTTTTTTAATGTCTGAATCATATTTCATTGTATAATATACCACATCTTCTTTATCCATCCATCTACCCATGAGAACTCGCATTTCTAACACATTTCCAGGTTAACATTTAAAATGCTGCTGGTCAGAGGACCAGACTTTGAGAATCATTGAATTAGGGTGAAGGCTACACTGCTAAATAAAAGAGGCCCCAAAGAATCTTTAAGACCGAAATTTTGCATTCATATGAAAACTCCAAGGTGAACAACCCAGGTTGGTAGGAACATCAGCTCCACATCTTCCTAACCCATTCATCCATGGAAGAACATGTAGTTTACCTCTATGTCTTGGCTGTTGTAAACAATGTTACAGTGAACATGGGTGTGCATATATCTTTCTGAGTGAGTGTTTTCATTTCCTTCAGATAAATATCCAAAGTGGGATGGCTGAATCATATAGTAGTTCTATTTTTTTTTTTTTTGAGATTCCTCCATACTATTTGCCATACTGGCAATACCAATTTACATTCCCACCAACAGGGCATGAGGGTTCCCTTTTGTCTACATCTTTGCTAATACTTGTTATTTCTTGTCTTTTTCTCTTATCTTTTTTAATAATAGCCATTCTAACAAGTGTAGATGATAAATCATTGTGGTTTTGGTTTGCATTTCCCTGGTGAGTAGTGATTTGAGCACCTTTTGATGTACCTATTGGTCATTTGTATGTCTTTTTGGAAAACTGCTATTCAGCTCCTGCCCATATCTTAAAAAGGATTCTTTTTTCACTATTGAGTTGCAGGAGTTCTTTACATATTTTGCGTATTAAAACCTTGTCAAATACATCATTTGCAAATATTTTCCTTCATTTGGTAGGTTCCTTTTCACTTTGTTGATGGCTTCCTTTTTTAAATGATTTGTTTTAATTGAAGTATAGTCAATTTACAATGTAACATGTTAATTTCTGGTGTACAGCATAATGTTTCAGTTATACATGTATTTGTTTTCATATTGTTTCATTATAGGTTAATACAAGATGTTAAATATAGCTCCCTGTGATATACAGAAGAAACTTGTTGTTTAACTATTTTATATATAGTTGTTTGTATATGCAAATCTTGAACTCCTAATTGATCCCTTCCCACACCCTTCCCTTCCAGGTAACTGTAAGTTTGTTTTCCATGTCTGTGAGTCTGTTTCTGTTTTGTAAATAAGTTCATTAGTGTCTTTTTTTTTTCAAGATTCCATACATAAGTGATATCATATGGTATTTTTCTTTCACTTTCTGGCTTACTTCACTTAGAATGACAATCTCCAGGTCCATCCATGCTGCTGCAAATGACATTATTTTATTCTTTTTTAAGGCTGAATAGTATTCCATCGTAGAAATACACCACGGCTTCTTTATCCAGTCATCTGTGGATGGACATTTAGGTTGTTTCCATGTCTTGGCCATTGTAAACAGTGCTACTATGAACATTGGAATGCATGTACTTTTTTGAATTAGAGTTCCATCCAGATATATGCCCAGTAATGGGATTACTGGATCATATGGGAAGTCTATTTTTAGTTTTCTGAGGAAACTCCATACTGTTTTCCACAGTAACTGCATCAAACTACATTTCCACCAACAATGTAGAAGGGTTCCTTTTCTCCACATCCTCTCCAGCATTTATCATTTGTGGACTATTTAATGATGGCCATTCTGACTGCTGTGAGGTGTTATGTCATGGTAGTTCTGATTTGTATTTCTCTGATAATAGCAATATGAAGGATTTTTTTCATATGCTTATTGGGCATTTGTATGTCTTAATTGGAGAATTGCTTCTTTAGGTCTTCTGCCCATTTTTGGATTGGCTTGTTTGTGTTTTTTTATTAAGTTGTATGAGCTCTTTATATATTCTGGAAATTAAGCCATCAGTCCCATCTTTTGCAAATATCTTCTCTCATCCCACTGTCTTTTTGTTTTGCTTAAGGTTTCTTTTACTGTGCAAAAACTTCTAAGTTTAATTTGGTCCAATTTGTTATTTTGCTTTTATTTCTACTGCCTGGGTAGACTGCCCTAGAACATAGCTAAGATTTATGTCAGAAATGTTTTGCTTGTGTTTTCTTGTAGAAGGTTTATAGTTGTCTTGTCTGATATTTAAGTCTTTAAGTCATGTTAAGTTTATTTTTGTGTATGGTGTGAGGGAATTTTTTCTAATTTCATTGATTTACATGCAGCAATCAAGATTTCCCACAACCACCTGCTGAAAAGATTCTTTTCTCCATTGTATATTCTTGCCTCCTTTGTTGAAGATTAATTAACCATAAATGTGTAGGTTTAATTCTGGGCTCTTTATTCTGTTCCATTGATCCATATGTCTGTTTTTTCAGCAACACCACAGTGT